TAAGTTTAGTAGGTTAGTTTGTTATATAGTCAACCCCCGTAAGGTAGTATATAACTCAGATAGATGTTTCTTAGTCTTACTTCAGGCACTAGTTTTTGCCTGCACTTTATTTCTTAGGTAATCTCACTTGATTTGAGAACAGGGTTTTAAAGTGGGAAGTCTGATGAATAAATATGCCTAGAAAAATGGAAAGAGATAGAATCTCATGGAACAAAATAGAAATACATGGAAAACAATGGAAGTGAAGTTTTGAAAGTGAAAATACTAGCTAATAACTAAGGAAAAATGATGGGGTAACTTGGTGATAAGATACAGTCTGGTGTATTATACCTTCCTTATTACTCCTACTATGTATATGTCATGGTATGAGTCACATACCATGCATGACACCGTGCTGATCCCTATGTAACAGTAACTCAGGAACACGGAGGGCAGAAGCACAGGGCAAAGGTGAGATCTCTTCCGATATGGAGCCTTAAAATAGCAGACAGAACATGGAGATCTCAGCCCTGATATAGGTATATGTAGTATCTAGGAAGCACAGGGAAGCACCAGGGACCACTCGAAGGGGCAGGCATTAGATCCCCAGCAAAGTATGCATACAAGAAGCATGGGGGATAGCTGCCCAGTATGCATAACTAGCCTTCTACAATAGTCAGGTACTATTAATACTCCTGCCAGGGTGTGGTGCCATGTAGCCATCCCTCTTTTTCTGATGATGGCAAGGCAGTTTGCGTAATTCCTCCTGGTCACATCCTTCACAATGGTGAGCATTCTGATATTCCATGTAGCCATCCCTCTTTTTCTGATGATGGCGAGGCAGTCTGTGTACCCATTTCTGACTAAAAATCCTTCACGAGTGCCTCAAGTACTTGACGCAGTGTAGAGACTCACATTTCTCCAGGTTCATATGGGCCAAATTCACGGCTTTTCACGATGCACTCGATATCCTTGCAACACGCTTCTCATACGACTTCCGCGCAACACGCGCTTTGGCATGTACTAGCGTGTTCGAGTGCGTTCGAGTGCGTTCGAGTGCGTTACGGTGCACTTCGTCGCATTTCTCTAGGATCCGTCGCCTGTCCTCCGCATGTCCTGTCCCAGTCCTCCAAGGTCCATTGGTGCATTTTCCCTTCTTCAGAACTCATACTCTGTCACGCAGGCACTAGTACTTATCATCATATCTCGTTATGGACCCTGACCTACCTCACCATTTACCTTAGTACTTCCTATCCGGCTCTGAGCCGTGGGAACTTGCTTAGCATACCTACACGTCACCATGTTTGTTTTCCTGTCACTTACTTCCGTTCCACTACCATTGAAGTGTATAGCTGGAGTTTCTATCTGAATACACCTATTTCCCTCCTATTGGCGCTTTGACACCTTTAAGTGTCTACTTCCACATCTATCAAAGTCCTGATTCCCCCATTTGATTGCCACCTCTACTTGAAGCACTCTGTTGTGATCACACAAAGTGCACTTTTCCGCACTTTCCACCTTATTAGCGCCTTTAGGCGCCTTTAGCTAGCACACTTCGCTTTGGGTGCATTATTTGCCTCAGAGTCCCATTCAGGCTTTGAGACTGAACCGCTGGTTATAGATCCCCCTCACCTTTTACTAGAGGAATCTTTCTCAGTAGCAATCCCCTTGGGACAACTTTCCACTCGTATCCAGAGGAGCACTTGAGAGCCCACTTCCCACTCTTCCCCCTAGCACGCAGCTATCATTTCTCGCCCTCAGCGGCGGCTTGCTCACCACACAACCTCTGTCATCTGATTGAGTCATACCCGCTATATTATGATCCTCTTTACTACCCTCAATATCATCCTTCTGTCTTTGCCACCTCTGACAATTTCTATATGTGGTTGCACAGTTCTCTCAGTTTGCATAGTGAAGGGTGTTTGAAGTGTCACTCAAAGGTTCCTACCCACCTTCGACTGTCCCTTTCAGTATCTGTTCTGTTCGATGGTGTTTCCTTGTCTGTCTGCATCGACAATATCACCATGGCGTTTGGATGCGCACATTTTGAAAGTTCAGGATATTCTCATTGTCTGCTGATTTCCCGCTTTGTTTCACTCACAGGCAATAGTCCAGCTACAGCAGCCACATGCCTCTCATCCTGTGTACACGACAACCCTCCTTGGTTCAATTATGCTGATGACTGCTATGAAACTAACCTGAATGCATTGTCTGTCCCTCTCCTATCTGCATCTGCTCAAACTGTCTAGGAAGTCAGATGCACACAGGAAACAGGATTGTGTCCATGTGATCATGTCTCATTTCTCCATGTGGCGCACTAAGATTTCCCTCATGTCAGACATGGCTCTCTTTGAACACCTTCTGGCACGAACACTGCTGCTTCATTGTCCCTGCAATTGATACACATTAGTTGCAGCTGAGTCTCGTCACGTGTATGGCACAGAGGTAGCTGATGCCTTGTGTATTCCTCCTCCGCTTACAGTTGCGCTTGGCCATGCTTGTCCCTCTGAGCGCTTCCATTTACCATGGATGTCCCTCACTATCAAAGATCTCACTCCAAGGCTCAAAAGACTGTCCCAAGCTGAGATTCAAACAGGCACCACACTTTGGCAACTTGTATGACAGACACTGTGACAACCATATTGGCGCTAGGCATGTATACCTGCATAAGCCTTCAATAGGTGGACCAAAGTTATCCCTCATATTATTCACTACTTCCCTATCAGCAGTCTTCACTTGTCTCAGCCAATACCCTTGCCCAACCCTATTCCGCACTTTCCTGCACTATGCACACACATTCCTGCAGCGCTATCCATGCTCCCACAACTTATCCGACACTATTCCCACGCTTATAGCACTATCAGAACTACCAGCAATGTGTCTATAGGAGCATTAGTGCATGTCCGCTCTATCTAGCACTTGTTCCTGCGCTGAGCGCTTATCCAGCGCACTGTTCTGGTGCTCTAGGATCCACCCAAAATGTCGGAATCCATCCATAGTCCATCCTACCTCATTGGTATGTAATTTGCCTTGCCTCGAGTTGTAACAAGTGCTACAGTCTTATTACATGTATATCCTATCCCTTCCGAGTCCGAGATGGTATACATAGTTTACTAGTATAAGAAGCCTATGGTGACTACTTCGACATTACTTTCCTTCGACTGTATTTCCTTCTCCTTAGGTTTTACTTAGAAGTAGTCACCCTTTAGTTGTGCTCTATGGCCCCTATTTGACTTTCCTTACCCTTGCAATCAATACCTCTGATCTCACTCACTATCCATTACCCTCCCTTGACTCAGTGTCCGCTTTCCTGACTTCCGCTCTTTCCCGTGCTGTAGAGACTCATGTTTCTCCAGGCTCATATGGGCCAAATTCATGGCTTTTCACGATGCACTCACTATCCTTGCAACGCGCTTCTCATATGACTTCCGCGCAACACGCGCTTTGGCACGAACCAGCGCGTTCCAGTGCGTTCGAGTGCGTTACGGTGCACTTCGTCACATTTTTCTTTGGATCCGTTGCCTGTCCTCCACATGTCCTGTCCTAGTCCTCCAAGGTCCATTGGTGCATTTTCCCTTCTTCAGAACTCATACTCTGTCACGCAGGCACTAGTACTTATCATCATATCTCGTTATGGACCCTGACTTACCTCACCATTTACCTTAGTACTTCCTATTCAGCTGCGAGCCGTGGGAAATCACTTAGCATACCTACACGTCACCATGTTTGTTTTTCTGTCACTTACTTCCGCTCCACTACCATTGAAGTGTATAGTTCAAGTTTCTATCAGAATACACCGGTTTCCTTCCTATTGGCGCTTTGACACCTCAAGTGCCTGCTTCCACGTCTATCAAAGTCTTGATTCCCCCATTTATTGCCACCTCTACTCGAAGCACTCCGTTGTGATTGCACGAAGTGCACTTTGACATTGAAGTGCGCTTTTCCGCACTTTCCGCCTTATTAGCGCCTTTAGGCGCCTTTAGCTAGCACACTTCGCTTTTGGGTGCATTATTTGCCTCAGAGTCCCATTCAGGCTTCGAGACAGAACCGCTGGTTATAGATCCCCCCTCACCTTTCATTAGAGGAATCTTTCTCAGTAGCAATCCCCTTGGGACAACTTTCCACTCGTATCCAGAGGAGCACTTGAGAGCCCACTTCCCACTCTTCCCCCTAGCATGCAGCTATCATTCCTCGCCCTCAGTGCATTAGCACTCTTTCGGGTCTTTCGATCTTGAGTTGTCCTTAGTAGCTTTTCCCTTGGGTCGAACATTCTTGCTTTATTGTTTGCAAGTATAGCAGCATAGGCAGAGCTTAGACATATACTGGCTAAGTACCTTTACAAGTGCCTAGTCAGGTTGTGTTTTTCACAACGCTCTCATAGAAAATTGTGCAATGCTCTTGCAAACCTCGTTCGTCAACAAGCTCTCCACCTCAGTTATGCTGGTGGGATCACACCAAGTAACATTCTCCTTGCTCATATCCCCTTCTTGGAATCATACACACTTTCAGAACGCTGATGCATTTCAATGCATTCTTGTCAAAGAGTTTGGTCATCTGTGCTCGAGAAGTTGGCGATGGAGATCATCTCTCCTTCCCAAACAGCAATGATGGCCTGTCTGGAATGCAAATGAGATGGTGTACTTCAGCTGAACATAGCACGAAGTGAACGTGAGCATGATTGGCCGTCAATCGTCCCGAAGGATGTTGTGCTTTGATGTCTCAGGGATTATATGTCTGGGTGGAACCTCCCGTTTGCGCAGTTTGTTCTCAGTGTGTTTCAGAGGCTGTACCCATTGCACTCTCTGATGATCTAACCTCTTATAATCTAGAACTTCTTCGTGTTGCTGATCACTTTATCATTCAGGACTGTATTATTCAGAGCATGTCACCATGCTTTGTGTTTGGCAATGACACCATTGATGGACTCATGTTGGAGAAGTCAGGTGTCAATTTTCAAGATTTGAAGGCCGTTGCATTTAATCTATGTCCTGATTGTCAGTCTTCTTTGACCAAAAAACAAGGTGCCCCAGTTGGCATTAGCAAATCAGTTGTATCATGGCAGCCTTCCTGATCACTTTAGTGACTTAATGTGGGTTGAAGAAAAAGTGTGTGCTCTGTATTTGATCACTGCACATGTCACTTGTCTCTTTCAGTCGACTGATCCGACCCAACCCAGAGTTTTCCATGGGAACACCTGCACCCACGAGATGAACACTGTCTCCATGGCATCGGTTCTTCCTCGTACGCCTTCTGACATGAACGGCTTTCTAAGTGTGATTTTTATTGGACCAGAACAGTTTGATCCCATGTGTCTTCGTGTTTTCTTTCGTGTGCGCAAGGATAAGATTTGGAGTTTTCTTGTCTGGCTCAGGCACAACAATGCTCTCTATGCCAGTATTCTGTTGGATGCATCCATCATGAACTTATATCCCGTTGATGGGCCCCTCCCTGGACTGAGCGATCACATCATCCAAGATCATGAACTTGATGCACACCACATATTCACGTTGGAGACAGCAGGGTTCAGTGAGCATCCTGCTGAACTGCTTCTTAGCTCCAATGCTGGCACTCCAGACCATAACGTGGATGTCACCATGATGGTCAAAAAAATGGGAGTGTCTGACCCAGAATGTGACAAAGTTAGTGGCAGAAGTTTCACCACCTCTGTCCTTCACAACTTGGTCTCAAATGGGGACTCTGCATCTCTGCCTGACCTTGTTATCCACCACAGTGGCAATGCAGTCCCTGAGTACAATAACCCTATGTTCTTTCCCGGTATGTACCCAACACTCTTTCCTTATGGTATTGGTGGCTTCGAGATCAAATCACGACCCACAGCACTCGTGTTCCAACAGCAGGCACAGTACTTACTCTCCATATCAGATTGCAGTTTTCGCCATCATAATTCATTCCTCTTTGTGGTGTTGAACATCTTGCAATGATGCCAAGCTCATCTCCAGACACATTTCTCCGTCAGTAAATTGAATTTCAACAGCGTGGCATGTAGTCTAACCAGTGTCCTCCGCTTCTACCCTACAGCACCTTGCATCTCAACTTGAACGCGAGTGTAAGCTCTCCAACCTTACATCTGAAGAGCAAAGTGCCATCACCCTCCTGCAGCAGGTCAATACATTATTAGCACATATTCCTGGCTTACAGGCCTCCAAGATCTTCGTCAGGAATGAGATACGCAACTATTTTGGTTATTTCGGCCTGCCACACATTTTTTCACTTTCAATCCCAGTGCAGCACACAGCCCGATCTTTCAGGTCATATATGGCGACAGTTCTGTTGACCTGTCCTTGTGCTTCCAAATCATGCCATTAGGACCAGAATGTGCAGCTCGTCTGGCTCGTGATCCTGTCGCTGTGGCAGATTTCTTCAAGTTCTCATTCAAATGCCTGTTTTGAGAACTTTTTGGTTGGGATTTTGATCACGGTCACTCCTGTGAGGCAGGTGGCATTCTTGGCCATGTACGTGCATTCTATGGGACAATGGAGTTTACTGAACATGATGCTCTTCATGGGCATTTTTTGATCTGGCTTGAAGGGGGCATCAATCCATCAGAACTTCATGAACACCTTTGCAACGATGTGGCTTATCAGACTAAGTTTTTTGCTTTTTTTGAGATTGTCATTCACCATCATTTGCCTGACATTGAAGACCAAATCGACCCTAAGTTTGAACCTCGGGTACAGCGCCCTCCCAAACCACCCCTCCCGGACGCACCATTGGAACAGTTGACCGCATGGGAAGGCCCTCTTTCAAGTGAGATTAAACATTGTGGGGAGGCACTCCAGTGACATACATGTAGGGCTGTGTGCCACAAATACGGAAATGATGAATGCTGTCAGTTTCTCTTTCCTCATAAAATTGTAGAGGCTTCCTCATTTGATTCAGATTCCAATGCAGTGGTGCTCATGTGCCGGGATCCGACTGTGAATTATTTTAACCCATATCTGTTGGTTTTTTTGCAGGCACAACAATGACATGAAATGTATCTTATTGGGCAAGGGTGCAAAGGCAGCCATGTTCTATATTTCAGACTACATCACTAAGATGGATCTCAAGACTTATGAAATGCTATCTCTACTGTCCTGTGCAGTTGCTCGAATGCTTAATTCAAACACTGGGGCTCCTGTGGCTGAAAGTGCAAAGATGCTTCTGCACAAATGTCTAAGTCAGTTCAACAACCGACAACAACA